TCCTTTTTTCCCCCTTCATGGTTGTGCCTTTGGTGTCAATTTTAGATCATTTGCCTTAAAAAGTACTGCAGCAAAACAAAATGTTGTTGGTTAAAAAAAAATTCTGCCTTCAGGCCTCCTTTGTACCTCAGTGTTTCCCAGCTCTTACTTTATCTAGTTGATGCTCGCATAATATATTAAGCCATAATGAGGTTTTCTCACCTATATGCTACAACCCCATACTTCAGTAGTTCGTACTTCTCATTCCAGATATTCTTCTCACCTCCTGCTTCATCAGTAGGAGACGGTTCAAACTGAGTTTCTCTGGCACCCTCTCTTCTACCTCCCTCTCCCTCTGTTATCACCTGCCTCTCCATTCCCACATGTTTAATTTTCCCAAACAGAAGCCATTTGTCCCTGTCCTGTTGACCCTGCCACAGATTCTGAGGTCAGTGATTTCTTTAGTCAACAGGTAAGAAATGCTTTTAACTTACCACTTAGGTAAAATGGTGTCACGTCCCCTCTCAGAAATGTACAGTTCTACCCATTACCTATAAAATATTGTCAAATTTCTGTGAAATGTGAAATTCTTTAACATCTGACCCACTCTAGCTAGCTTCCAACGCATCCTCCAGGTTCTCTCCTCTGGTCAAACTCTATCTCTCTTTTCCAATAACAGTTAATGTTTAATACTATATTAATGTCTTTTTAAAAATATATTTTACTGATTATGCTATTGCAGTTGTCCCATTTTTTCTCCCCTTTGTTCCCCTCTGCCCTGTAACCACCTCCTACCATCATTCACCCACCTTAGTTCATGTCCATGGGTCATATATATAAGTTCTTTGGCTTCTCCATTTCCCATACTATTCTTAACATCCCCCTGTCTATTTTGTACCTACCATTTATGCTTCTTATTCCCTGTACCCTTCCCCTTTCCCCCGCCTGCTGATAACCTTCCATGTGACCTCTGTTTCTGTGAATCTGTTCCTGTTCCAGTTGTTTACTTGATTCATTTTTATTTTTGTTTTTGTTTTTTTAGGTTCAATTGTTGATTGTTGTGAGTGTGTTGTCATTTTACTATTTGTATTTTTGATCTTCTTCTTTTTCTTAGATAAGTCCCTTTAACATTTCACATACTAAGGGCTTGGTGATGATGAACTCCTTTAACTTGACCTTATCTGGGAAGCACTTTATCTGCCCTTCCATTCTAAATGATGGCTTTGCTGGATAGAGTAATCTGGGATATAGGTCCTTGCCTTTCATGACTTGGAATACTTCTTTCCAGTCCCTTCTTGCCTGCAAAGTTTCTTTTGAGAAATCAGCTGATGGCCTTATGGGAACTCCTTTGTAGGTAACTGTCACCTTTTCTCTTGCCGCTTTTAAGATTCTCTTTTTATCTTTCATCTTGGGGGACTTAATTGTGATGTGCCTTGGTGTGTGCTTCCTTAGGTCCAACTTTTTGAGGCCCCTTCGAGCTTCTTGACTTCCTGGAAATCTATTTCCTTTGCCAGATTAGGGACATAAGTCTTCAATTTCATGTTCTTCCTCTTCTTCTTCTGGCACCACTATGATTTGGATGTTGGAATGTTTAAAGTTGTCTTGGAAGTTCCTAAGCCTCTCCTCATTTTTTTTTTGAATTGTTTCTTCATTCTGTTCTGGTTGAAAGTTTATTTCTTATTCTGCTCCAAACCATTGATTTGAGTACCAGTTCCCTCCCTTCACTGTTGGTTCCCTGTAAACTTTCCTTTATTTCACCTTTCATATCCTTCACTTTTTCCTCTATTTTACGACCATACTCAACCATTTCTGTGAACATCCTGATTACCAGCATTTTGAACTGTGCATCTGATAGGCTGGCTAACTCTTCATTGCTTAGTTGTATTTTTTCTGGATCTTTGATCTGTTCTTTCATTTGGGCCATACTTCTTTGTCTGGGCACACCTGTTACATAGTAGGGGGCTGAGCCTTAGGTATTTGCCAGGCCAGGGCAACCCAGGTTGCTGTATTGTGGCACTGTATGTTGGGGAGGGGTCCAAGAGGGAACAATGCTACTTGCTCAGCTCTGTGCTGGCTTTGAGTCACTCCATCTGCTACCACAAGCAAACTGGGCACTTTTGGTACTGATTCCCAGGTGGGTGGGTTTGTGGATGTTCCAGGACCCTGCGGGTCTCTCCAACAAATTCTCCTATAAGGCTGGGAGTTTCTCCTGCTGCCTCAACCACCACAGATTTTTTTCAGTCAGGGGTTTTGAGGTTTTATTTCCCCACACTGGAACCCTAGGTTGCATGGCCTGTCTTGCTCCAAAGTTGTTCTTCCTGGTTTATCCACATGCAAATGTGGGACTGCCCATTCCACCAGCCACCACCTTGCCCATTCATGTCCTCTAGATGCTACCTTTGCCAGGTGTTCTCTCCACCTCAGCTGCCCATTGCCAGCCCCTACTGATCTGAATGAATATTTCTTCTTTAACTCTTTGATTGTCAGACAGTTCAATTTTCTGGCACTTCTGGTTATTTGTTGTTTTAAATTTGTTGTTGTCCTTCATTTGGTTGTGGGAGGAGGCAGTGTATCTACCTACCTACACCTCCATATTGGCCAGAAGTCCTATATTAATTTCTTATAGGCCATTACCCTAGATATGGAGCAGTCTCCTCACATTTTATTGCTTTATCTCATTTTTTCTTCTCAATCCTCTTCACCTTCAAAATCTTTTTCACCCTAGAAGGCCCAGTTCTTTTGGCAGCTCCACTGTTTCTACATTTTCTCTAATCCCTTCATTTAGAATTAATCTCTGTTTTCTTCAAGATTCCGCTCAATGTTACCTGTACTCCAACTTACTCCTTAAATCATTCTCTTTTGTGTCCTGGTTATGGGTCATTTCTATTCAATTTGAGCTTCTAAAGAACAAATACTTTTATTTGTTCTTTATTGCATTTCCTAGTACTTTATTCAGAGGCTGACCATAAATATTTCTTAACTTTATTTAATTGACACTATATAAAGCATGTTATGCTCTTGATCTGGCTCTGAGTGTGTATCCTCACTAATAGAGTTTTTGCTTTGATTCAGAGAATGAACTTCTAACATAATTCACTTTTGAAAAATGGATTACAATTTTCTTCTCCTGCCTCAAATTCCCAGTTTCAGTAAAATTTCCAGTGACACAGATTCTCTAAAAGTAGACGTTTGTTCTGCTTGTCATTCTGCCCTTTGTACTGCACTACCTTTGACACCCTCCTTCATGTGAGTCTCAAACCCTTTGCTATGCCCTGCTTCCTGGACATACATTTTATTGCCAACTATCTGCTGATCTAGTTGCCTGGAATTCCAATTTGTGCTCAATCTTAGATTTTTATGTTCCCTCCCACCTGTTTAGATTTCAGATCACTTGAACACTAATTGCTTTTCCACACCTGCGACCACAGTCTCTCATACAGCATTTCCCTAGCCAGCTGAAGACATTGCCATTGCTTATGAGGGAGACCCATTCTCCAGCACACAATCCCCCCCCAACCCATAGGTGTATCATTTTTCAGGTGCTAGCCATAGTCTGCCCAGTTTCAATGAAGCTAACTTTTCCACACAAAGTATTTTTACACATAACAGGAAGATCAACTGGGAGGCCTTGTTATGTGATGATAGGATTTTGTGAACTTCCCTGAGCAGCTAACTCTCTGCTGCCATTGGAAAAAGTATGCAGTGATTTCTAATGATTTTAATTTAGGAATCATATACCTGTTTACTCAATTACACAAGGGGTGTCAACCTCATTTTCACCAGGGGCCACATCAGCTTCATGCTTGCCTTCTAAGGGCCAAATGTAATTTTAGGACCATATAAATATAACTTTAACTAGGGTCAAGGAGCTCGGTGCTGCCACTGGGTAGAAACAAGGTGCCAGGCTGGATAAAACAAGATGGAGGGCTGGATTTGGCCCAAAGGCCTTCTGTTTGCTACCTGTGAATTACACCATACCAGCTAATTATGATTTCAGATGAGGGCAGCAATCACAAATTTCAAGTTCTCTGGGCAGAACTTATTCCTTTAGGTAGCTATTTTTTATTTATTCATATTTATCAATAAGTCACTTGTAATTATATTAATCCCTCTTTCACAGTGCTTCTAAGCCAGGGATGATTTTACTTCCTAGGGGATGTTTGGTGATTTCTGGGGACATTTTTGGTTGTCACACTGGGGGAGGTGCTACCAGCATCTAGGGTAGAGACCAGGATGTTGCTAAAATCTTGTGATGCACAGGACAGCACCCACAGCAGAGAATAATATAGCCCAAAGTGTCAGGAATTCTGCCTCTACAATAAGGGATAATTAATAAAATCCTTTGTTGCCTTATAGGTACTTCTCTATTACTTGTGGAGGGGTTTGTAAATTTCCTCAGCTCCACTGCTCATTCTATATAGCTGGTTATGGATTGGTCTGCTGTGGCTAGACAGCTACCCTGACTTTTTCCTCATTGGGTGGAATTCCACCCAATCTTTTCACTCAATTTGTATGTAAAATAAATTATAGTCTGTAGAACCCCTCTGACTCTTGGTTGTGTCTTACACATCTCTTAATCCCTTCTTTGCATCCTTGCTACCCCACAAATGAAATATAAAGTCTATTTTCTGTAGCAACTCAGGGACCCCATTTACTTTCTGTTGTCCATGTACTTCTTTTCTCCCCATTAATATTTCAGTGAACAATTTTTCATTTCTAGAAAAGTTTCCATTCTCCCATCCAAAACATATTTGCTTAATTGGGCTCACTTTTGTGCTATGATGACATATTTCCCCATTATTATTTTTTCTCTTTTGCCAGTATATTCTTTCATTAAATGGAACTGTAGCACTACTTCGTTTTCCCGTATTTTCTTGGAAAGTCTTTCTTATTCAATTAACGTTTAACTTGTGATCATTTCAATCCATAAAATATAACAATTTTAGTGTATTACAATAAACATACAACTTATTTTATTCAGGGAAATATACAACTTAACTACTTTGTGTTGATTTCAATAGGTTTACCTGAAGAAGAGGGATTCTCCAGGTTGTCTGTGAGTGGGACAGCGACCTCAACATTTCAGAGACACAGAGAGAGCCACACCACTCAGGTAACGATCCCTACATATTCACATATGCCATAATAAATGAAATTATGACAAGACATTAATTAAGGTATGACCAAGAACATATGTTTTTACTGGACTAGAGAAAGGAGTTACTCTCATCTCTGCCCTAAGTTTCTCGAACTCAATATTCTTCTCTCTCCTCTATCTCACCTGACTCCAATATTTTACTGATTAAAAAAATTATAATTTGTCCCATACAAATAAAAAATAAAAAATATTGTAGACATAATTTATGTTGTAGAATTTTTAAAAAAACTATCAGGGGAAGATGATATTAAATTTACTGAATGATGTTAATATGTTTACCACATTTGACCTCAGCTAAAATTGGGGGACTCTAAATGCAACACATGGGAATAAAATACTGGAAGAACCTGTGGTCTTATGGAATGCCATTATATCTCAGTTACTGCTTCCAAATTCCATGTAATCCAAATTCATTTAAAATATGACATGTAATCAGAGCCCAGTTAAATCAAAATGAGATGACAGTGCACAAAACTGTGTTCCAGCATGTTTTATTAATTTCACATATATGCTTAATGTGTTTGGCCTTAAAAACTTCACCAAAATAGAGATTATCACTGCAAGAAAAAAATGCACTAGTGTTTTTAGAAAGAAAAAGAATCTATATAATATAATTTAGTATTATGCTATGTTGAATTTTAAAACACTGTTTCTTTTTTTCTTCTTATTGAATTTATTGGGGAGACACTGGTTAACAAAATTATACAGGTTGCAGGTGCACAGTTCTACAACACATCTACTGTACAGTGTATTGTGTGTTCACTACCCCAAGTCAAGTCTCCTTCCATCACCATTTATTCTTCTCAGCCTTTTGGCTAAGATCAACTGTAGTATCTATTCTTATAAGTTTAAAATATTGTTTTCAATAATTATCTTCAAAAAGATATGACTTTGTATTCATAGTGTACAAGCAACAATATTTCAGGCTTTATTATTAATATATTTGAAATATAACAACAAGATTCTTATTTTGTATGGTCACCATACAGCTTTTATTATTTCAAATATCTGCATAAAATTTTTTTAAAGCCTCAGTCAAGTATCCAGATGTTTTAAAAAATTCACTATCCAGCTATTGATCAGCTTGCATCTCAATATGTGGCATTATGTAGGCATGGCCTTATCAGATCATATTTTCTAAATAACACTGATGAGGTTGTGAGAAAAATCAATAATTTTAATCTTAAAAATAAATCTTAAAGGAGGTAATCTGCTGAAATCATTTACATTGATATATAGGCACTGAAATAAAAAGGAAATGCTGATTGGTAGCAATAATAGATTGTCCTAATCTCCCCTCTGTTCCTTAGAGATGCATTTACTTTACCTTGTAAGCAGTACAGATGCTTTATCTAAGATAATTCACAGGGGACCCTACTTGTAATGAACATTGGTTTGATTTTCATTACAGGGTTGACTCCTATACTTTAGAGCACAATGATAGGCCATCCGACACCCTTCCCAGGACTCTCACTGCAATGTGGTTCATGGAGAAAAGGGTTAATATTGAAACAAGGTACATAAAATAGACATCTCTGTAACTTTTCCCCTGATCTTTCATTGACTTGACCAAGAAGCAAAGAGAAATTGTAGAAGTTATCAGAAGTAACTTCCCACTCCCAGTTTTCAATGGAGGCTTGTTTTCAAATGCAAACTTGTCTGCCTTCAGTTATCTCCCAATGCATAGTGTATTCCATGGAAAAGTGTGGGCATGCATTCTCATGGTAGGACACATTCCTCACTGTTGAAAAGCTATACAAGTTATGTGAAACTGCACTTAACGGCCACATATCTTTCAGCATAAATGTCTCTTGTGTGACATTTATAGAGGAAGTATGGACACATATAGGCATATTACATTTTAGATTTTCTACTAATGCAATTACATAGGAATTCTATAAAATCAGTTGGACTGATTGGACATACAGAAGTAAAATTAAATGTTAACTAAAAAATTGAATAGTCCCTTTTTGAGGATTTCTATATTTTAATTAGCATCAGGAATGATTTTATCTTCTTTAAGGAAGTTAAAATGTATGGGCATTATTGTAGATAAAGAAAGCAGGAAATAGATTTAGTGATTTACCCAAGAGTATAGGGAAAATTTAGAGTCCAGAGTTTGAATGGATGTCAACATTGTATGTCCTGTTTCTGAGAATGAATTTACCATAACTCATTAAAAGGAATACAAGAGTCATTCAACTTTTTTAAAAAATATTTTATTTATTTATTTTTTAGAGAGGGAAGGGAGGGAAAAAGAGAGAGAGAGAGAAACATCAGTGTGCGGTTGCTGGGGGTCATGGCCTGCATCCCAGGCATATGCCCTGACTGGGAATCGAACCTGCGACACTTTGGTTCACAGCCTGCGCTCAATCCACGGAGCTACGCCAGCCAGGGCATCATTCAACTTTTTCATAAAATTTGAATAATTTCTGGTTCAAGACAGAAATCTAAAAAGCCATAGTAGACATTTATAATTTTTTAGCTGCCAGTCACATATTTAAGGTTTTTCACTATCACAGTGAAATTTTAAAGGGAGAGACTCCCTTTTTCTCTGTCCTTTGATAGCTAAACAAATACATGTGAGATGGGCTCAGTTAACCTATCAGCCATGGATATGGAGTGAGGGACACATAACGGAGAGCAGCGAATAGCTGTTGCCTTCGGTGTCACACCTGGCAGTGGTGGCTTCCTATAGTGGCAGCAGATGTTGGTCAGTGTATGTCTATTGCCAACCACTGCATCCACCTTGGTTTGTCCAATTTGCCAGATCTTTCCTTCTAATTCCATATGACTCGTTTACCTTCCAGTAGAGCTTCTAACTGTTAAGATGCCCAGAGTTAGTTTTCATTGCTTGCAAATAAGAATTTTTGACTGACATTAATTTAATAAGTAGTAGTTTCTTTCTTCATGGTACAGAATATAAAAATGTAGTTTATATTCAGTTTCATCATGATTTTTATTAATTTTAAAAATGTGTTTTTACATGAAAGTAGTAAAATTAATTTTACTTAAAATATTTGAAAATAGTGAAAACTGAGACATTAGCTGTATCACAAATGTGGCTGGGTTCACTTATGGTCTTTATATAGATGGTTTGGTAGGTCCATGCTGTGAACAAAAACAAAATATTCATGACCTTCCAAAGCACTCAGCCAGCATGAATAAAACCAGCAGTGAATGTGTGACATCATGGATTTCCATGTACTGGCCCTGGAATGTGGCTTTGTGGCACATCCAAGTACTCAAATCTGGAATTTCATAGGTTATAGAAACCATTTCAGATTGGTTTTAGAATTTGACACCCTGCATAGAAATAATACTTCATTTGCCTATTTGAAATTTTATGTAATGTAAAATAACTTTAAAAAAATTTGGTGCCATTTGGCATGATGCAGTTTCTTAGTAATTACTCGGCAGTGGAAGACTCAGCAGTGAACGTAACTGTGAGAATATCTTCCAACTCAGAATGACTTCATAGCGTTTTTTTGCTGTTATTGCAATCCTCTGCTGATGCAGAAGGCCAGGTAATCTGACACAGGAAGCCTATGGATTATAAATAGAGCAAAAGCATGAACAATGCACAAGGGGTGTCCTGAAGGCAGGAGGGTACCCAACAGGCTTGTATAATATAAATGTTGAGTGCTTGCCTTGGCATAAAATTGCTAGTTGCACATCTGGTTAGGTGTCCACACTTGACATTGAAAAATTAGATGTTTTCTTTTCCCACATGAGCATAGTTTGTTTGTATGTGCATCTCATTTTACCTTTACCAACTTACCCTTTGCGTCATTTTACTTCTCTCAGCTGTCTATTCTCCACAAAACTATGGTGTAGTTTGTTATCTTTATTATGGGCATTTATCATATTTCTTGCCAAACCTTTTTATATTGTTTTATTTTTTACAAAAGCATAACAAATTTTATTAATATCTGTCAGATTCAAATATTCATTGTAAGAAATCATTGATGGTATCTGATAAAATAGTGGCATTAAAGAACCCAAGAGTTTAATGTATATCTCCCCACTCCAGAAACAGCTGCCAGTGAAAGCCATAACATAATCAATATGCAATTGATCCACATCAAGAAACAAATTGTTATGTGGCTTGTTTTACTGAACAATCAAAAAAACCTTTTTGTAATGTCCCATATCAACAAAATGAAGAGTTACAGAGCACTAAATAAACCCAATGCCTTCTTACTATGTTCAATTTGTGTGTTACAAAGACTGCTTCAAAATACACTGTGGCATGGAAAAGAAAGTGTGTTAGATAAAATAAGTAAATCTAGATATTTAATTTAATCAGTAAGAGATAATTTTAAAGCATATGGTAAGCAATAAAAATTAGATAACCATTTCAAAAGGAAATATACATGTGTTTCATTTAGAAGGTACAGACTAAAATCTAGCATAGAAGCTATTTCACACAGCTGCAATTTCTGGGAATCAGTATGCACCACTCATGACTTCCACATTATGTGCAAGAAATGAAAGCAGTGAATTAATTTGATAGTATGAGTTAAATGACATTTTCAAAGGAAAAGGGGCATATCCTGTATAGATATATAGGAAGTTAGAACATAAACAACAAAACCAAATCCTATATTTTGTTTTTTCTTCATAAAATTGTACCATATATATATATCCTAAATGTATTTGAATGCATACTGTTTTCCTAGTGAAGACATTGACTGTTATCAATGAAGAGAGTTCAATTTTAAGAACTATGAAAAGAAAGAGAAATCAGAATTGTGGTATGTTTTTAAAGAGGATAAAGGTCTTTGATATCTCTGCATACTTACCTTCCAGATGGGAAAGCTGCACTTAGCCAACACCACTGCATAAGGGAGGGAGTAACAATGCAACTAAGAAAATGCATTTAAGTATATTCTAGTTAACTTAATTATTTCAATATTAATTCAATTTAATTTTTAAAATTAAAGGAATGAAAA